CGCCCCGGGTGCCAAATGCTCTAGGTACGCCCCTGCTGCTATATCACAATATATCTCTGGTATCTGTGTGGGTAACGGGCAAAGTAGGTACATTGATAATGCCGAGAGGTTTAATTTCAGTAATACATCCTTTGATATAAGAAGAACCCCACTTCACTATTTCACCTTTCTCCCAATCCATAACAGGATTATGTTTAGTTAGCCATGGATAACCTAGAACTATAGGAAAGGAAGATGAAGAAATGGACTGTAAGACAATTATTTCTTTATGAAGAACACCAATCGTCATAAAAATAGGAATGGTTTCCTTTGTGATAGTGGGTTCTACCAATGGTCTACCTTCTATGGCCTCTACGGCCAAGGGTGTAGTTAGAGAATATTCAAGGGGGGGGGTGTTTTATCAATAAAACTTTCTGCAGCCCCAGAATCCAATAGTGCAAAAGTATGTATCTCTCCTCCCTCCCATTTCAAGGTGGTAGGTATAAGAAGTCATTTTTCAGATTTTCTGGTCGTGGAGGACTCTGTTAAATCACCCGAGGCCTGTCCTCCATTAGACCTTAGGCTCTGTAGTTTTCCCTCCTTTCAGGACAAGATAAGCAGAGATGTGTATGTGTATCTGTATGTGTATGTGCCAGTGTATTTGTGTGTCTGTGCATCTGTGTCAGTGTATCTATCTGTGTCAGTGTATATATATGTATGTCTGTGTGTGTGTCTGTATCTGTGTGTCAGTCTTTGCATCTGTGTGTCAGTGTGTGCCGCTGTGTATCTGTGTATGTTTGTGTATCTGCATGTGTGTCAGTATTTGTATGAGTTTCATTGTGTGTGTCTGTGTATCTGCATATCTGCATCTGTGTGTGTATTTGTGTGTCTGTATATCAGTGTGTGTATTAGTGTGTCTGTATCTGCATGAGTGTGTGTGTGTGTGTGTGTGTGTGTGTATCTATATATCTGCATGTGTGTCAGTGTCAGTATTTGTATGTCTGTGTATCTGGATGTGAATTATAGACAAATGTGTGTATTTATAGACCGTATAGAGTATGAGTAATGTATGTATATGAGTGCAGGTTGTATAGTGTGTGTTTTTATAGGGTTATAGAGTGTATAGGGTGTGTATAGTGTGTATAAGTGCAGTGTTTGTATAGGAGATACAATAAGGGCTTAAATGACTAATTTAATAATTACATATTTAGTTTAAAAAAAAAATTAGTTTCCCTCCTTCTTATTACCTTGCAGGTAGGGGAGTATGCTGATCCATCGTGGTCCAGTGGGATAGTCATTTGGTCTGTACCTCCGCAGGGTACAGACCATGTCTATCCCTTTCGCAAGCACTGATGATTCAGAGTGCTACCACGAGTTACCATGGCAACAAAACCGGATATGCATACAATCAGAGCTTGTGAGAAAGAAAGACAGAGGCCGTCTGGTTCCCTTCACCTGGTATTACAGTTCACCGAAGGTAACCTAGTCTCCCACTGGTCCATGAAGAGACAGAGCTCACTTTGGACTGATGCTGCAATGCATGGACTGGTAGGGGACATCTTTTAATCTCCTCTGTTGGCCTTGGCCCATGATTATCACGGCTTGGTTTGCTAAATGTCTGGGCCTGCATAACACCCATACAATAGAGCAGTTGAGATGCTCGAAGTACTTTATGCTGTGAGGGGAATTGCAATTGGCCGCAACAACCTTAATAGAGTTATGCAGAGATATAGATTAAGGGTGATATAACAGAAATAGTGTATCTAGTTTGGAATCTGCTTAGGGTCATAAAACATCTGCTTATCTGAGTCCCTTTTAATCCCCGGAACAAAATGGCAAATGCAGGCCTGGGTTAACCATTAAATAGAACTAATTAAATATTTTTCACGATTTAAAGTCGTGTGAGTGCTGCCAATCTGAAATGTATTTTGAGACGTATGCAGCCCACATGAGTTCATAATATTTGATATTTAATACAGTTTATCCTGGACCAAAACAACATGTAGAGATACTGGCAACAGTCACAAAAGTAGCAATGAATATATTAATGGTAAGCAGAAACAAGAAACAGTAAATATTTATATCATCTAGTAGTCAGAACTAGTTGCACAAAATAGCAGTAGCATAATGTAGTGTTTTTCAGAGGTCTTACAGAATAGTTAATAAATAAACGTATTACAATGTCATTAGCATTACACATAATGTCCATGTTTTTCTTTTTTATTTCAGGAAGAAATTATCCTAACAGCAATTCCTATTTATGTTAATCCTTTCTGCTATTATCTTACTGACAGGGAAGTCTCTCTTCAGCCAATAATTAGCACCATAATGACTGTGTGTGTCAGTGGATGTGTATTAGTGAATGCTTGTTAGTGTGTGTGTGTGTGTGTGTCTGTGTTTTATTGTGGGGTTATTATCTGTGTTAGTGTTTGTGTGTGTCCGCATGCATGAGTGTCAATGTGTGCATGCTATTGTGTTTTTTATGTATGTTTGCTGGAATTTGTTAGGTTATTGTGTGACAAGTTATGCATGGAAAATGTTGTAAGCCTGTCTAGTGTCTAGGTAATTATTTGTATGTGTTTATATTCATCTGTGTGTTTGTTTGGATGAGGGGGGGCCCACAATTTCTAAAAGTGGCCCTGAAGAGGGTTGAAATTAAGCTGTGTATAATGTGGTATGCACACTGCATGCTAGAGGTGGTAGTACATCACTGAAAATAATGTCAAAACTGGCAAGGTCTCCTGATGAATAGATGGAAGTAACTTACATTTTATATGAATGTGTGTTACTTGATTGTAGTAAGTGTTGCAAATGCTTACAGCTGAATCCTGGCTATGTTTGTATACTTTATTTAAACTGGTATACAGTGTAACATTCTTACAATTCAGCACGTCGGCACTTTGGCAATTCAGCTATTTTGAAGTCTCTGAATGTCCGAATTGCCCGAAATTTGTTTGAATTGACATTCGGAACGAAATGAATTGCACATGTCTAAAACAGAGTAATACAGAAGCAAGGCATTGAAATAATAACAAAATTTTAAGGTCATAACATGCTAATCAGACAGGAAAATATGTATTAGATAAGACCACTTCACATTTTGCTGTCCTATTATGTGTTATACCCGACCTCCTATAGACTGTAAGCTCTTTTGAGCAGGGTCCTCTTCAACCTATCGTTCCTGTAAGTTTTGTAACTGTCCTATTTAGAGTTAACCCCCCCCCACAGAATCTGTTGGCAGTATATAAATGGCAATAATAATAATAATAACTAGACAAAGGAACCATTGGTATAGCATGTAAAATGCAAGTAAGTGAACCACTGGGACGAAGCTAAGCGCTATAATGCTGCACCAGATAAAGTGAAATTAGACAAGATTAGGTAAAAATGTCAAAGAAAAATAAAAAAGAGAGAAGAGAAGGTGCAATTCGCCATTATCAGAGAGGCCTATATTTTTAGTTGTGGGCTGAAAGCTGGGTTCATCCAACCCCCATAGATGACAAAACTATGGCACAATCAGGGAAGTTCTGCTTGGGACTGATCACAGACTGGTGTTGAAGGTATATTCTGCTCCAGTACCAAACGCACATAAGGGCTAGCTTCACTACTCCTCGGACTCAGCTGTTTTCTCTTGCCATGACTTTCCGCTCCTGGGGGTAGCTGATGGCTGTGGTGATAGGTTGCTGCTGATGACGGTGGATCTTCCGCAACCAAAAGCACATTGTAAGACCTCCGCTGAGTCTCGGTTTATACTGGCGGGAGAACAGTTGAGTAGATGGCTGTTTAGTGCTTGGAGGGGACTTTGCCACCTTCCATGTCTCACGTCTCTTGGCATGTGTCACATCATGCCATGTTCTGCGGAGATGTCTGGCTTTGGTTTCTGGTATTCAGTACTCTTTTTATAATTCTTGTGATGCTTGGTTCTTGTTTCATGGCAGTGCTCCTATTCTGGAGTGGATCTCGGTCCTGGCTGGTGGTTCCTTTGCAGGAGACCTTTCCAAAGGAAGTCAAGTAGTTCGGAATGGCATTGTGAGCCGCAAACTACTTTCCTGCTGTGTTGGGGAATCCTTACCTCCGGTAAGTCTTAAGGACTTAGTTGCTGGATCCTTGCTTCTTTCCTGGTCTCTGCCTGAGAGCTGCTTGTCGCGCCTGGAGGTAGCTCCTTAAGAGGGGAGTTATGTCACATCATGCCATGTTCTGCAGAGATATCTGACTTTGGTTTCTGGTATCCAGTACTCTTTTTATAATTCTTGCTTAGTTTTTCTTGGTTTTCTATTCTATGTCTGGTTTTCTTTATGCTGTGTTTTTCAGGGTTCATTCCATTATTCCGTCCCTGGAATTCCCAGTCTCCTGGATTCATTTATATGTTGGTTTTATGTTGCCACACCCGTTTGTTTTCCATTTTCCTTTTGTTTCAGTCTGTACCTGCAGCAGTGTTTCAAGTCTTTGCCCTTTCTTGCAGGTAAGTGCTATTGTGGTTTAGTATGGTTCTTTTAGCATACATTAGGCAGTGTAGGACCTGCCGAATATGGGGTACATTGGCGTTGTGGCAAGCTTATGCAATGTAACTAAATCCCCATACTTTTCATATATAGTGCTTAGTTATGTCTCCTCTTGTTATGCCTATTATATCTTGTCTTGTTTTATTTTGTTACCCCAGTCCATGTACAGTCCTGTCCTGTCCTGCCCCTGTTTAGTTAATGTTCCCTTATGTATTGTGTACATGTTCTGCTTTCTGTCCTGCTCTGGTTCTGGGTTCTATTAGTTCTGTCTTGTTTTCATGTTTGGTGCCTGCTCTAGCCTTGCCTTGTTTCTAGTACTGGATATATTTTAGCATTCATCTGCTCTGGCTTCCACTAAGCTGCAACAGGGTCTTGGTTTGTGGCCGCACAAACGCTGGTGCTCAACACCAGGGGGCATGCGGTTACCCTGCACCGGGCACTGTAATCCACTTCCACGCGAAGACTCCCACTTCTCATCAGGCACTCAGGGGTCCCAGTTTCCGTACCGCCACCCGTGACAGCATGCTCCTAAAGCATATTCCGGGCCTCCTGGTCATGCCGGTATAGCTGTGTCCACAAGCGCTGAAATATTTACTTCAATCGTAGCAGGCATTGAGCAGTAGAGCTGTGGAGAGCTTTCTGGGGAAGGTTTAGCTCCTGTGTGCTCGGTGGGAGTGCATCCGCCATCTTATGTTGCCGAGTGTCGTCCTTGTAACGTCAAGGAGTGCTGCTAAAGTAATCGATGGTGATCCAGTGGGTGAGTATAGGAGTAGTAAGAGCGACCGCCTCTCCCCAATTCCGACTCAAGTTGGCCGCAATGCAGTGCTCCGGGCCTCCGCTGGCCACAGTCTCAAGTGAGGTGTCTGTCGACCAGGCAATGCACCCCCAATATGTGTAGTGCACCTGGGTGAGGATGTTGGCGCGTGGCCATGGCTGTATTTGCCACGAAGCAAACAAGGCATTTGCCTGGGGTGGCACTTTCAGGCCTTGTATCCAAGAGGCTGAAGTGTTCAGTGGTTCATAGTGTAGGCAGGCGGTGAGGGAGCGTGGGCCTCTGAGCTCTACCTGCTCTGCGCGCCCTTCTACGGTCCCGGGAGCCGGAATATGGCGTTACTCTGGCCCCGGCGGTGTGCGAGGGAGCAGAGCAGGTAGAGCTCAGTTGCATCACCACCTCCATTGAGCGCCCGCTCAGCCAGCAAGGAGCCTGTCTGTAACAGTTTACGAGGGAGTTGGAGCCCAGTTGCAGGAGATGGCACAAGGAGGAGGCAAAAACACAGTACAGATAAAGGGGTAATCCAAAGGCAGGGTCAGCAAGAAACAGAAGTCAGGGCTGGCAGCAGAGTATCGTAGTCAGTAAGGCAGGCAGAGGTCAGAGGCCAGGAAACCAGTCAGCAGAGTAACAAAGATCCAGCAGGAAACACCAAACAACCAAAATGACCAGATCCTAGGTCTCAGGCAGAGCTGGCTTTTACAGCCTGCTGATTAGGAGCAGCTTACCCTAATTGGTAAGGGGCTGCAGGTGAATCAGCACTGCTCCATCCAGGCAAGGAGTCAGGAAGCAGGATAATGCAGACAGCTACTGAAGCCCCCTGGTGGATAGCATGGTAGAGAACCCAACTGGGATGCTGGAGCTGTGAGTGCAAATCCATCCAGGTCTCTTAAAGGGGTGGCCATACATTGCTGTCTGCAGGGCTCAGGGTGCACTGTGACACTGTCTGCCCAGCCATCAACCCCAGCAAGGAGCCTGCTGGTTACCCTGAGATATCTCTTTCTTCCTATAGGAATTCAATAAGTAGTTCAGAAAATGTGTGTGTGTGTATGTATATGTATGTGTGTGTGTGTATATATATATATATATATATATATAATTTTAAAATATATACATCATTTTAGTTTAATTAAACTACATTTCAGTATTATTGCAAAAGTCTGTACGCCGTGAATATTTTGATGTATTGTAGAACGTCTTTAAATAACAGCCTTACTGGTTGCCATAGAAACCCATACTATGACTACTTCAGTTTCCTACCCAATGAGGCCCCTTGCTGGCTTTAAAAAAATGCCTCAATGGAAGTACATTTAAAATCCTATAAGATTTAATCTAAAATAAATGTACATAATTCTTGCAAACCCCCCAGACAGGATAAAATTAGGTACTTTTATAACTTTGTAATAAAACCTGCACACACATTTTTAACGCTGACATTTTAATTAGACATAGCTATAAGCTTCATTACTTAAAGCCCCTAATGCCATGGAAAAAATGAATGATAGCCAAAGCAAAGCAGTTAGCTCTCATTTTATAATGAAAATATTATAGCAATATAAACCTATTTCCATGTTTATGACAAATCAAACAGCAAATCTATCTTACAGTATTTGTTGCTTGTGCTAAACCATATATAATGTTGTCATTTTAATTCATTTATAAGTAAATATGTGCCTTTCTTCTCGATAGGGTTCAATATATATATGTAATATTGAACAACTCAATTTGAGTGCAAGTTGTTATCAGTGGAATTTATTTTGCTTGATCTCATTTTTAGTCTCACATTTCTAGTCACGAGATCAATGTTCTATGCGTACATGAGAAAAGAGTAATGTTGGTCAGAGACTAAGATCACTGTATAATGTCATTAGAACCTACTTGCAGTCTGTTCTTCACATATAAAAAGACAGTCCCCAACTACTCAGAGAAAGGAACTTAAAGGACCACTATAGTGCCAGGAAAACATACTCATTTTCCTGGCACTATAGTGCCCTGAGGGTGCCCCCACCCTCATGGCCCCCCTCCCACTCGGCTCTAGGGAGAGGAAAGGGTTAAAACTTACCTTTATTCCAGCACTGGGAGGGGAGCTCTCCTCCTCCTCTCCGCCTCTTCTCCTCCCCTTCGGCTGAATGCGCACGCGCGGCAAGAGCTGCGCGCGCATTCAGCCGGTCTCATAGGAAAGCATTTACAATGCTTTGCTATGGACGCTTGCGTGTTCTCACTGTGATTTTCACAGTGAGAAGCACACAAGCGCCTCTAGCGGCTGTCAATGAGACAGCCACTAGAGGATTTGGAGGCTGGATTAACCCATTTATAAACATAGCAGTTTCTCTGAAACTGCTATGTTTAGAAAAAAAGGGGTTAATCCTAGAGGGACCTGGCACCCAGACCACTTCATTAAGCTGAAGTGGTCTGGGTGCCTAGAGTGGTCCTTTAAATGTAAGAAAATCCCTTAAAGATTACATATATAATAAACCAAAGATCTACTTATAGAATCTAAATAATGTGTTAGAACCAATATGTGTCACACTACAAGTATGAGAATATATTAAAAACAACATTAACACATAGCCTATGTAATTATTGGACAATTCCATTATTTTATACTAGGAGATATGTGTTAAACGACCACTATAGTGCCAGGAAAACATACTCTTTTTCCTGGCACTATATTGCCCTGATGGTGCCCCCACCCTCAGGGCCCCCCTCCCGCCAGGCTCTAGGAGGTGGAAGGGGTTAAATTTACCTCTTTTTCCAGTGCCGGGAGAGGGACTCTCCTCCTCCTTCTCTTCGTCATCGGCTAAATGCACATGCGCGGCAAGAGCCACGCGTGGATTCAGCCAGTCCATAGGAAAGCATACATCACATTCACATAAAATTACATATTCACAATCAATCCATTCAGGGGAACAACATATTAAAAAATGGCACGAATCAGACCAGGGGTTCAAAAGTTAAGGGAAAGTCCTTTGTGGCTAAATGAAGCATGGCTTTCTGGCCCAAACCAGTTTCAGAGTCTTCTATCCTGGAGATAAGTAATTCAATTATCTCCCAGGACAGACACAAGACTCCATTAAGCACATGGTTGCAAAAAGACACAAAACACTTTAAAATACATAAAGTCACATTTACACATAACACACAGACATTTCACATATCCCCAGATAGCTGGGATCTGAGTACACATTATTAGATGAATGGCACTCAGATCACACAAATAAGCCTTTCTGCAGGGGAAATAAACAGTTTAACCTGCAGGGCCATAGTCCAAAGGGAGCAGGCGAGCAACCAGGCTTCTCCAGTTCACAGTGGCGAGGTTGGTTTCGCCACAACAAGCACGCCCCCTCTCAAAGTGAGCATGTTGGTTCAATGCGCAGAGCCCCGCTGAAGAGCTCTGGCATTAGAAAAAGGCCTTGTATTTGTTCTGCGCAGCGCAAGCAAATTTAATAACATGCTTGCACTGTGTTTGCTTTTAAATTGTCTCTGGTGTCTCCACAAGTGGGATACCAGAGGGCAAAAGGGCCAGGAAAGTGTATGGTGCATGTGTTTGGCGCCTGCTTGTGGGATTGCCTGTGTGTGTAGAGTGTGGTGTGGTATTGTGTAAATAGGTGTAATATGTGTGGTGTAATATGTGTGGCTAGGGGCTGTAGAGAGTGCGTGTATAGGGGGCATAGTTTTATAGGGGATGCAGCGAGTGTGTGCATACGGGTAGTAGTGTGTGTGTATAGGTGATGTAGTGTGTGTAGGGGTTGCAGAGAGGGTGTGTTTAGAGAATGTTGTATGTGTTTCCTTACAAGGAATGTAGTGTGTGTGTAGGTGGTGCACTGTGTGTGTGTAAGAGATCTAGTGTGTAAAGGACCCAGAGTCTGTATAGAAGATTGTGTGTGTGTGTGTGTAGAGGATTAAGAGTGCATACAGGGTAAGGGATCTAGCTTGTATCTGGAGCGTAATGTGTGTAGTGGTGCAGTGTGAGGGGTGCTGTAGTGTATGTGTATATATATATATGTGTATATATATATATATATGGGTCTCTGGGGGTGCTGTGTGTGTATCTGGGTGTGCTGTGTGTGTGTGTATCTGGGGGTGCTGTGTGTATCTGGGGGTGCTGTGTGTGTCTGGGGGTGCTGTGTGTGTATCTGGGGTGCTGTGTGTGTGTCTGGGGGTGCTGTCTGTGTTTGAGGGTGCTGTCTGTGTTTGGGTGTGCTGTGTGTGTCTGGGTGCGCTGTGTGTGTCTGGGTGCGCTGTGTGTGTATCTGGGGGTGCTGTGTGTGTGTCTGGGGGTGCTGTATGTGTTTGGGTGCGCTGTGTGTATCTGGGGTGCTGTGTGTGTCTGGGTGCGCTGTGTGTGTATCTGGGGGTGCTGTGTGTGTGTCTGGGGGTGCTGTATGTGTGTATCGGGGGTGCTGTATGTGTGTATCGGGGGTGCTGTGTGTGTATTTGGGTGCTGTGTGTGTTTGGGTGCTGTGTGTATCTGAGGTGCTGTGTGTGTGTCTGGGGGTGCTGTATGTGTCTGGGGTTGTAACGAGAATATACCCCAACACGCAGGATTCAGCTAAACAAAAGACAACACAGAGGAGAGCTACGTCTACCGGACCTTAGAATGGCCGGACTCGACGTATATGAGAGGAGACAGAGTCAGGAACAATCCGAAATCAAGGGCACAGAGAGACAGCGTAAACTAGGACAAGCCGGGGTCTGGTACACAGTAAACAACAAGCCGACAACCAGAACAGATAAGCAAAAAGAGAAAACGTAGTCAGAAACAAAGCCAAGGTCAATACGGAGAAACACAACTGAACACAACAAGCGCTAAAGGGAACTGATACAGAAACCACGATAGGGCAAGGAACAAAGGAAAGAAGGTGAGTATAAATACCTAAACATCTAATTTGATTGGTCCCTGTCACATCCACGCCCCCAAAAGGTAAGTGTATGGGGAGTGTGGCATGACAGGGACCAATGGGATGCCTTTTCCAATTTAGGCACCCACTGTCCCTTTAAGAGCGCGCCCGATACCCGCGGCACGCTCTTAGAGTAGGTAGAACACGTGACCGCTACTAGTTACAGCGGTCGGCTGAGCCGCGCGCGGCTTGTGCAGCAGCAGGACCGCGCGCGGCTCGAACAGAGGACCCCGGCCGGCCCCTGGAAAGGGTAAGTACCGCTACAGGGGTGCTGTGTGTGTATTTAGGGTGCTGTGTGTGTCTGGGGGTGCAGTGTGTGTGTCTGGGGTGCTGTGTGTTTCTGGAGGTGCAGTGTGTGTCTGGGGTGCTGTGTGTGAGTTGGCTGTGTGTGTCTGGGGTATGTGTGTGTGTCTGGGGGTGTGTGTGTGTGTGTCTGGGGGTGCTGTTTGGGAATTAATTTTAAGTATATATATTTTTTTTTATTAATAATTTTTTTAAAAGTTATGTCCCCCCCCCTCCCTTCTTACCTTTAGCCTGGGAGGGGGAGGGAGCCGTTCTGCCTGGGAGGGGGAGCCTTGAGGGGACCATGCTGCCTTCCCTGGTGGTCCTAGTGGTGAGAGTGAACTCTAACCTGCAGGTTAGAGTTCACTCTCGCGAGATCTGAGCGTTGCCCCGGCAACGCTCAGAATCCCGCGAGAGGACCCGGCGGAGCTGCTGGCTAGGGCTCCGCCGGGTCCTCCCTCACCCAGCTGGCGGCCGCATCTCCCTGTCTGTGGGCCGGTGAGGAGATCTTTGATCTCCCCACCGGCCCATGGAGGCACTATGCAGGGCCGGCGCTCGGATAGGCTGGCCCTGCAGGAGCCGGCCGGGGAGATCCCCTGCCGGCCTCGGCCCCACGGCCATCGCGGCCCACCGGGCATTTGCCCGGTGTGCCCGATGGCCAGTCCGGGCCTGATTTCCACCCATCAGGGGCTCGGCCCAGACTGAGCTTGCAGGGCAGGGAAAGCCTTATAAAAGCTTTCCCACACTGCACAATTTCAGTCAGAGAACTCTGATTGGCTTGTAAGCTGACCAATCTAAGCACTCTGACAGCACAGCTGGCAGGGCCATGAGGGAGGTTGCAAACCTATCTTATAATCATATGGGGCCATATTTACCCCCGTAGGGCTTATTTGTTAATTTAACCCTGAGAGAATTGGGGAAAGGGAAAGGTGATGATAGTAATGCCAAAAAACAAACACGAGTCCTGCGCATCCAGTATAGGTGTGCACACCCAGGTGCTACCACAGTTTATTTGAGGATAAAGTTAATCAGCAAACGTTTCAAGCAGCAGCCCTTTCTCAATGTTAATGTCCAGCAGCCCTTTCTCAATGCTAATGTCCATTAGCATTGAGAAAGGGCTGCTGCTTGAAACGTTTGCTGATTAACTTTATCCTCAAATAAACTGTGGTAGCACCTGGGTGTGCACACCTATACTGGATGCGCAGGACTCGTGGTTTTTGGTTGTATATACACTGTTGGAACTTCAGTGTGGAGTATCTGCAGCACAGGTCTAATTTTTTCTTTGTTTGTATTTTGAATTTTGTAGGCATTTTTTTTTGCCTCTACCTCACCCTATATATAGTGATAGTAATGCCACTGGAGGTGTGGAAATGTATAATTATGGCTCAAGGCATTATGACCATGTCCACCTTTGGTGAGCTACACTGCATGATTGGCCAGTTGACCTTTTTTCTCCTGCCCACCAGCTTCCTGCTTCACATGACACCAATGTTGACAGGGTATGATATATTTTCTGCAGATATATATATCTAGATGGACAGATATATAAAATGTAAGGCCTCTCAACCACCCGATTTCACTGGGTTGTCCCTATTTTAAAATCTTGTCCCGCCACCTAGACTTTGTTCCCTGATGTCCTGTTTTTGTAAAGCGTAGAGTAAGTGCATCATTAGGCTGAAATGCTCTCTGCATAGTCTGAACGTGGTACTGCTGTATTGACAGGCTGATCTGCCAAATCTTTTGGCAGCCTTTTCCAGCAGGTCGCCCCCATTTGGCAGTACCAGTGATGTGATTTGCATCAAATGCCCTCCCCTATTTTACCGTGATTATCAGTGTCCCATTTCCATACCTCCCAACTCTGGTGGTAGGTAAAGGGAGAGGGCCAGTGATGCAACTTTCCACCTTAATTTCTGTCAGCTCAGGCTGCTGCGAATGCACACCAGGCTGCCTTTCCATCTTTCTGTATGGCCCACTGAGGGCTGACCCTGCAGGGAGCACTGTGCTCCCTGCAGGGTCCAATTGTGCTGAACATAGCGCAAGCGTCTAATAATGCTGTCACTGTGCTTGTTGGGGCCATTCCATGGTGTCCACAAAAGCAGAGCACCTGGGAATGTCGGGGGGCAGGACCCGGAAATATTAACAAGATGCTGATATTTGTAGTATATGATATGCTTTATCTAACTTCCCTAGAATAACCCCAATAACTTGTGGTGGGTGGTTGTAATTTTGGCGAAAGAATACATTTCTAGCAAAAGTAGCCACACTGTGACCATAGGTAATGAATTGCTCCATATTACGTTTTTTCATACTACATTTTACTGTTCCCGTTTTAATTTTAGCCAGTTTTTAATCTTGCGAATAGACACCTCCCAGTAGTAGGCAACCTTCAGCACTCCAAATGTTGTGGACTACATCTCCCATGATGCTTTGCCAGCATTATGGCTGTAAAAGCATTAAGGGGGATAAAATCCACAACATTTGGAGTGCTGAAGGGTGTTTCCCCTGTTGCTGTGATAAAGCTCTGACTTCCCAGCAAGGATTTGTCTATCTGCTATCCTCTGAATGGTGAGCATTATAATATGTCTCTATAGATTGCTTTAGCGGCGCACACTTTCCCCTTGTTCCAGCACACTAACAGAAAGCGCTTCCTCTACAATCATGGCGGACATGTACTGTCGCGCTGCCGTTACCATGGAGATGCACGGCGTCCTTCCTGCGTGTGGCTTAGCGCGCTGTGTAGTGGTTCCCACGATGTCATGTGACCCGGAAGTGGTTGTCTGTGTAGTTTTGGCGCCTTGGCTAGTGTTGCAGCAGGCTGACAGCTGATAGTGAGACTCACACGGCGGTAAGTGGTGGTTCATGGGGTACTGCTTTAGTTAATAGGTGGGAGTTCAATTTGTGATAAACACCTACTGGCTCCCAGACAGTTATGGCTAATGCTGTGTACTCCAGATACCAATAGACTTTATCACCCAGTAGCCAGATGACTGTATGGATATTTGTCATCGTAGTCCCAACACAACCTGTATTCTATATGTTCAACATTATTTGTTATACCTGCTAATATTCCATACATTAAAAGGGACATAGCAATTCAGGGTGAATAGTGTTGCAGTTACTGTACACACTGCATGTCCAAAGTCAGGGTATAATTAGTAACTGGGGAATAACCTGCGGCAGTTATTACAGACAGGAGAATTATAAATACTGAGATCTTTGTGTGCTGTTGCTTAAATTGTGGACAGAAAATAGAGCATTTTCAATTATACTCACATGTTGGAAAAAGTGCAGCTAAAATGTAGATTTAATAATGCAAATTTCGATTCAAGAAAAAAAAAACCCTAAAAAACATGCTACCATCCTCATGTGGATATCTTTTGAATGGACCGAATAGCACAAAAACAAGTATAGATATTTTTCAAAGACCTCCAAAAGGTGACATCCATACTTAAGGTGATTATACTTGTGTAAGGTTCTACTCGCAAAAGATGCGTTGTTCTTTCTTAGCTATGATGCTTCACCAGCCAGGAGATTGCATCACTGCTGTACTCTAATGCATGTTTGAGAGTACAGCATAGAGCTCTATAAAGGACCCCATGAGACTGCAGCATCCTTCACAGACCAACTCTTGTGATGCTTGAGAAGTTCTGAGTCCTTACTTTGTCTAATTGTATCTTTTAGTTGCATTGCAATTCTAATGAAATTACCACTCAAGTAATCATATTTTGTAAAGATTCTATGTGTAGCAAAAATGCCTCTGCTACAAGCTCCTTGAGGAGCCTGCTGGCTAGCCTCCTGCCCAAGGATTATGGGCCATGTAACCGACCTTTAAAAGACTTGGTTTGTGTGGTTTCCCTTTTTTTTTTTTTTAGTTCGGGAACAGAACAAAACACACGAAATGCGGACCACCTCTGGGCTTGTTAACCACTATTGATCTCTCCTGACACCTTAACATTGTAAGTGTTCGGCTGGGTGGCTGCCGTTCGTATGCACGAACACGTGGCAACTGAGTTGGTGGCCATCTTGTCGCATGAACGCAGCCGGCGGTGTTCGGTCGTCGAGTGTATGGAACTAAAATCGGACACTTTTTTAACTTGCGAACACCACTGAACTTTGACATACGCCTGCTTCGTTTCTACTCATGTCAGGAGATTGCCGTTTGGTAGGATTGTTCGCGTGAACTAAGCGAATAATCGCTAACTAGGAGCCAGAGGATCGTTTTGGACTCCCAAAGGTGACCGACCTCTACTACTTTTCTTACGGAACTATTTTGGGCAGAAGCCATGTGTGCGGTTGGTTAAAACTTTACCTCGATGGCAATCCCAAACCACCGAACCGATCTGAGTGCTTTTTGGATATGATAGGTACTCAGATCAGGGCTATCTGGGGATGTGACTCTTGAGGGGGTTCCGTGTATTTTGGGGGTAGTTTAGGTTTGTTTAAAAATTGTTATACCTTTCTGTACCTGAGTCACAAACACTGGCCAAAGTTAGCGTTAATATTTGTTTGTGAAAAATGCAAAAAACTAATTTAAATGCCAATTTTGGCCAGTGTTTGTGACTGTGGCTACTAAAAAAGACTGGACATACCCCATTTGCAATACCTTGGGTTGTCTACTTTTGCAAATGGTATGCCATCATGGGGGTAATTCTCATTCTTGGGCTACCATACGGTCTCAAAGGCAATGTAACCAATTTGGTGAATTTCAATGTAAAAAAAGTGAAACACAAGCCTTATATTTGACTCTGTAACTTAAAAAAAAAAAAAAAAAAACACCATAAACATGTACATTAGGGGTACTGTTATACTCAGGAGACTTAGCTGAACACAAATATTAGTGTTTAAAAAACGTAAAATGTATCACAAGAATATCATCGGTGTAAGTACTGTTTGTGTGTGAAAAATTTAAAAAACTTCACTTTCACTGATATCATCGTTCTAATACATTTTACTGTTTTGAAACACAAATATTTGTGTTCAGTCAAGTCTCCCGAGTAAAACAGTACTCCCCATGTACAGGTTTTATGTTGTCTTGGAAAGTTACAGGGTTAAATATAGTGCTAGCAAATTAAATTCTCTGGACTTTCTACCTGGGTTATCAGGCAGGTCTCGCAAATTGTAATTAATAAAATGACTTAATTATGTAAAAAATGTTACATAAATATATGTAGAATTTTTAAATAATAAAAAAGTGTGTGTGTGTGTGTGTGTGTGTGTGTGTGTGTATATATATATATATATATATATATATATATATATATATATATATATATATATATAGAAAATAGTTAGAACCAAATTTCACACATATATATATTTTTCATTTTTATGTGTATATATATTTCATTCTACGTGTATTTTGATATTAATATATATTTATTAAAATACACTTAGACTGGGTGTGTGTGTGTGTGTGTGTGTGTGTATATATATATATATATATATATATATTTTTTTTTTTATTTTACACGGTTTTAAAACTTTATTAAACTTTTCTACAGGAAGCAGGGGGAATACCTGTCATTCCAGGCACTCCCCTTCCTCCCTATTAAATACTGTATAGTGACAAAGCCTTTTTAAAAGGTTACTCCAAGCACCATGACCACTTCAGTGATCTGGAATGGTCAAGGTGCTGGAGTCTGTATGTGCAGCATTTCGCTAACAAAACACTGCATCTGAGGACATCCAGCGTCGGCAAAACCACATAGGAAAGCATTGATTCAATGTTTTCCTATGGGGTAGTCTTAATGCGAGCATGACGTTAGCCGTGCATACACATTAGGTCCCTGTCGGGGGAGGAGCAGGGGTGGAGCCTGACCCTATGATGAGGAACATCGGCGCTAGATTCAGGTAAAAATTTACTTTGTGAATAGACTTTCGAGTGGGCTCTAACTTACATTAAGATGGAACGCATATGCTTTCCACTACAGAGTAGATAGGACGTCTGCCACCATGGACGTGTTGATTTGATGGACGTTTTGAAACCAGAAGGATTCACAATGAGGCATGACCCGAAAATGATGATTATAGACATCAGGTGGACCAGCACCGTCCCGATTGGCTGTGAGGCAATTTGGATGGAGCAAACCAGGGTTTTTAAACCCAGGACTTGGTAGAATTGTCAGACACACGCTGAATACCCCTGAGGAAGTCTATTTATAGACTATAAGTGTAGGGTGAAAGAACATTCATTCATTTTTCCTGTGTTTTACTAATTGCCTTCACAAAAGATTTCTGGGTTCTGGAGGTAGTATACAGAATTTCTCCTGAGAGTAAAAAAAACTGTGATGGGTTTTTAATTGTCTTGAGAGTGCATAAAATAAAGTGTTCTTTTTTGATGTTATACAGTATTGTACATGTGTTTTGTTTCTGTCCTAACAAGCACTGAACTTGGGAAGTAGAGAAGTTCTACCAATATTTTCATATTCTGCCTGCTTTAATTAATGCTTGTGAGTGCTTTTTTACACGAGTTATCTGGTGTTTTTTGGTTGTTATTATTATTTATATAGCGCCAAACAAATTCCGTAGCGCTGTACAATGGGTGGACGAACAGACACTTAATTGAGATCAGACCACTGGACGTACAGGAACAGAGGGGGTTGAGGGCCCTACTCGAAGAGCTTACATGCTAGAGGGAGTGGGGTATAGTGACACAAAGGGTTAAAGTAGGGGAATTACATAGTTTGTTAGAGAAGAGTTTGAGTGCTCTGCACCATTTGTGGTCCTTTCTGAATTTTTGTAGGTGGTTTTTTTTTTATTTTATTTTTTTTATATTTATATTCAGAAGATCCGAAGAATCTTCTAAACATCTACTATTTTATAGGGTAACTTATTTTCATAATTACCCCCCTTTTTAACCACTGGTGTTTTATATTGCATTAGGAGTTTTTACGTATTTTGCTGGAATCGGCTAAGTGACAGAAGGGTATCTGCGCTGTGTGTGGGGGAGCGTGAGCAAGGTGGTAATATAGTGCTAGGAATACAATTTTGTATTCCTAGCACTGTAGTTTCCCTTTAATCCCTTTAGCTAAGAAAGCACCTGGGGACCTACTGGCACCATAACCACTTCATTTCGATAAAGTTGTTATGGTGCACAGAGTACTACTTTAAACTAAATTATGTGTCCTAAATCTTGTAAGAAATAAGAATTACTTACATGATTGGAAAGCAGAATTCTAAAAAAAACAGTGATAAACTTACAGCTGGGGTATTTAAACAGCAGGCTGGATTGTTCTGTCTTATTTACTCCTGTTGATTTTTCTGCCTGACATAATGTATATTGTTTTTCAGCAGGTACAAAAAGAATGCAAGCGTTTTTGAAAGGTGGGACATCCATCAGCACAAAGCCATTGAAAGATAAAGCCTCCGTGTCTGGAGCAGGCAGCAGCACAGATGTCAAGAAGCAGAAAGCAGTCCCTTGGGTGGAAAAATAGTATGTGATATTTCTAAAACAACGTTTACATATTATCACTTTGTATGACACAGTTTGCAAAGTGTATTTATGAATGTAAATACATTTATACATAGGCTTAGAGTGAGTGGGTTTTTTTTCTCTGTATTTTATATTTTATGGGAATTGCTCTTTTCATTTCTCAGCATAAATATTACTGAAGTATTTACAGCATAAAATTGTGCAATTGATGTCCGTAAGAACACACTCAAAGAAACACTATAGGCACCCACACAGCTTCATCTTATTGAAGTGGCCTGAGTGCAGTAGCCCCTGTCACCTTGACCCAGCAACATTAATTATTGCGGGGTTAACTCATCCTGTAGTGGCTGTCTTCCAGACCGCCATTAGAAGCTCTTCTTGGTGTTTCACAAAGATTTTTATTTCAGACGTACAAGCTTCAGTGCTATAGGTGTTTGGAGTATCCCTTTAAGTATGCATTCAAATGTATGTTTTGTTTTTTTTGTCCATGAATTATTAATTGTACATTTTTTTTTCTTTATCTTTTCCACTAACTTTTGTGGATTTTTCCTCCAGGCACTCCAAAGCTCAGCTGAGATTTTTCCAATAAATTTGTCTTGCTGAGCTTTGGAGTGCCTGGACCATTTTCTCTTTCTTAGAATCTGTTGCATCATAAAAGCTGTAGTCTTATTACATATATGGGTATACAATTTGGATACACCTAACTATAGGGAGCAAAACAAAAATAAATTTTATGTACCAAATCTAGTATCGTAAAATTGCCCACAATCTGCTCAAACAGCTGCCATAAAAATGAGCAGCAATGGATTTAAGCAGGCCCTGAGCTGGAAATCCACTCAAATACCCTTTTTTGCAAGGCCAAATTGTCTGCTTTTATAAGGTTTGTTAGAAGTGACATGTTGAAATCTGACTGAAACATTTAAACCAGCCAGTGGTATTTGGATAGGCTGAAATCTGGTGGACATTTATTTCCATGTTTTGACGTCCAAACGCTCCTAGGTGATACCTGATTATCTCAAATTTGTTTAAAAGTTTTTTTATTGTTTTTTTTTTTTTTTTTTATGTTTAAAGCATCAGAATGTTTACAATTTGTAGTTAACAGTGCTACTCCATTGTTTGAAATAAAATATTGATGTGTAACTACCAAAGAAGAATAAAGAACGAAAAATATTACAAACATTTTACAACAAATATTTTATAAAAAGTAAATTCAATTTTTCAGTTTGCCCAATTCACTAGTTAGTGAAAAAACTCCAATATATTTTATAATTGGAAAGGAAACTAATGTACACAATAGGGAGTGAGTTAAAATTGGACCATGTATTACCCCCTGTGTAGCTAAAGGAATAGCTGCATTATTAGAACGGGATGCTAAATTAAAAACCCGCACTTAAATTGCATGTGTAATGTAAAATGTGTCCAGGAAGGACAATAAAACTAATAAATTAAGCTGTGGAAATTAGAAATTTATAATTTATTATTTTTTTTAGTAAAGAATGTGTTAAGAAAATGAATAACTATTAAATATTTCCTATTGTACTGTTTATGTAATAAAATGTAGCAAATTTTTTAGTTCTTCCAATACTGACTGATAATCTCTTATAGTCGACCAAAATGTGTAGATGACGTGGCTTATCAAGACGAAGTGGTTGCTGTACTGAAGAAATCATTGGAAGGAGCAGATGTAAGTATATTAATTCAATAAATCAATGTAAATGCACTGGATTAAAAAAACAGCATGGAAATACGCACACCTACCTCTTTGGAACACGCTGCTAGAAAACCAAATACCCAGGCTTCCTTTTCACACCAAAAGATAAGCAATTGTAAGTGAGACTGCAAAGAATGTAAAGCCTAGCCTTTAGTTCTTTGGTTCTTCTTTATGAGAACTATTGCTTTTCTCTTTGTGCTGTGGCACTGAAAACCCTTAAAGTTTTTACCTGGTATACATCATCTAGTTTATGATGCTGGAGAAACTGAAATTAAAAACTGATGTTAATCTTTTTCTCCCTTAGTTGATTTTTTTCATTATAGAAACTTCCAAACATTTGGTAACGCAAAAATTGGGTTTCAGAGAAAGAACAATGGAAACTGACCTACTAAGTATTTTAGTTATTCTAAAAAATGAAAGATAAATCTGACTGGAGTAAAAGTTCTAAAATTGAAATACAAAGCCCAGACAAACCTAGTTTAAAAATTATTAAAGGAGCACTATAGGGTCAGGAACACAAACATATATTCCTGACCCTAGGGTGTTAAAACCACCATCTAGCCCCCTCTTGCCTCCCTAAATATAGTAAAATCTTACTTGTAATCAAGTCTGCAGCTGCTACCTCTGCACCTGTCTACCTGTGAACTGCCTCTGTCTGCTGACATCATCAGAAGTGGTGGTCTGAGCCAATCACAATGTTTCCCCAATAGAATTGACTAAGACTGTCAAGGAGGCAGATCAGGGGTAGAGCCAGCACTAGTCAAACACAGCCCTGGCCAATCAGCATCTCCCTATAGAGATTAATTGAATCAATGCATCTCTATGAGGAATATTCATTGTTTGCATGCAGAGGGTGGATACACTGAATGTCAATGCTGCTCACTGTGCAGCACTGCCCACAGGAAGCACATCTAGCAGCCATCTAAGGGTGGGGCAGTGGATGTATCACTAGGCTGTAATGTAAACACTGCATTTTCTCTGAAAAGACAGTGTTTACAGCAAAAAGCCTGAAAGGAATGATTATACTCACCAGGACAAATGCAATAAGCTGTTGTTGTTCTGGTGTTTATAGTGTCCCTTTAAACATAACAATATTGTCAATTTAGAGGCAACTAATTATTGTTTCAAGTGCTAAAACATCAATCACATCAAACATCAATTTTATTATTTTTACTTCATAGACTAAAATATTAAGTGTCTTGACCCAATATCACAGACCGGTACACATTTATTGGCTTGTAGACTTTTTCTTGATCAATGGAAGATCAGAAACGTCAAAATCATACTGATATCTTAATTTGCAAGATCCGGCTTTACCCAAAATTGAATCCTCTACATCGGGGGTTCCCAACCCAGTCCTCAAGTACCTCCTACTAGTCCAGGATTTAGGGATTACCTTCTTGTGTCTAAAGTGTTTTCTGTTTTTTTTTTTGTTTGTTTTGTTTTGTTTTTAAAACATGTGGCTGACCGCCTGGCCCCTGAATGGGTGCCTCTGACAATCACTGCTTCCGAGTACTTCCAAGCACTCCCTCAGACGCCATCAGCACCATAGTCCCCACTTCCAGCGTTACAGCTCGGCTGGGGTCTCGCCGTTCTCCACCCACCCTGGACCCAATACCAGATTCCAGCTTCCAGTGGGTAGACCTCTCCTCTAATATAGACAAAATACCCAAAGGTAGTCTACAATACAAAAATAACAGAGATAAACATAGGGCAATATTGTTAGGAAAAAACAGTGTGAGTGAAAATATATAATCACACTCACAAATCCATATTGATTGTAGGCATATCATAGATGGTATTATGGTGGCTTCAGGACTTGTGGAACATCATAGCATGTATTGGAAGAAAAAAAGAAAATAGTGCCCTATGTTTCTCTCTGTTTTTGTATTGTAGACTAGCTTTGGGTATTTTGTCTATGTTGTTTTGAGGACTAGGAGTAAGTGTCTACAATACTATCAGTCAAGGGTAACTGTTTTAATTTTTTACCTATTACCCACTGAGTGTTTTCTATCCACAAATAGGTGTATCTGTACATATTATATTTTGTATCTCTCCTCTAATATGCTCTTAAAAGAGCAAGTGATTATAATCCCAGGGGAGTATAGTGATATAGCAGTCCCCAGGGTAGATACAGCCGTTTCCCCCAAGCATGAGATGAGACTGTTGAGAGTAAGCAGGAACTCATATACTGGTAGCCACAACTGGCCTTTTATGCAAGTCCCAATGCAAGGGGCACTCCCCCCTGGACCTGAGAGTAAACCACAGCAGAAACCAATACACGATTACATTGGCTCTCAGATCCAGGACACTCCCACACATAATTAGGTCAATCCCTCCTCTGCGGGGATATTAACTCAATTATCTCCAGACACAAAAACACACATTTTTATAAAAACCCCAATATAGTGAACAACATATCCAAGAATCACCCAGTTTGGTTCAGGAATTTCCTAGAAGTCTTATTTTTGACTGACCGCATGCATGATCCCATGCCCAAAACGGTTCCAGAGAAACAGGGCTTGCGGTTGGTATAGTTCGGTAGTTTAACCCCTTAAGTACACATGACATGTGTGACATGTCAGGATTCCCTTTTATTCCAGAAGTTTGGTCCTTAAGGGGTTAAAAACTAACAAACTACCGAACATAGTCAATGTTCTTACCCTGGAGCTTGTTCCCCTCATCCAGGCGAACGATTTCACCAAACAGTGCCCTTCTAAATTGTATAGAACTGAACGCAGGCAATTATGGAAGTCCAGCAGTGTTGGGGAGTTTGTGTCCGATTTTAGTTCCAGGATGTCGACGACTAAACACCACTGCCTGCGTTCATGCAAACAAGGTTGTTGCTATTCCCATGAACGACCACGAGGTGGCGGCCACCTTGTTCGCATGAACGCAGGCAGCGGTGTTTGACAGACAGAAAATTAGAACACTGCGTTTATAATCGTTACTAAGTGTTAATAGGGTTTAACAACCTCCTGAGGGGTCTCTGGTTCGTGCGGCTGTTCGGGAACCGAACCATATAATCCCATTTGCACGAACAGAGTCTTTTTAAAGTATTTTAGCCAGGTCTATTGCACCTTATTTTTAGTTACTCTACAGCCAATTTTAAACTCCAATGAAGCTTCATTAGAGGTTTGGTGTGTGTGTGTGTGTGTGTGTGTGTGTGTGTGTATATATGTATATATATATATATATATATATATATATATATATATATATATATATATATATATATATATATATATATATATATATATATATATAGTATATATATATATATATATATGTATGTGTGTGTATATATATATATATATATATATATATGTATGTGTGTATATATATATATATATATATATGTATATATATATATATATATATATATATATGTATGTGTGTGTATATATATATATATATAATATAATTTTTTTTTTTTTAATTTTTTTTTTATTAGACCAAGGTTCTAGAGCAGGGTTCTCAGTCAAATCGTTTCTAATGGAGACCACAGATCCGTACTGCCAGAATTGCATCAGTACACACAAATTGGTAATTTCCTCAACAAAGACACATATAAATCCTTACTTCCTTATACATAGACTTATAGTATCTCACAAAAGTGAGTACACCTCTCACATTTTTAAAAATATTTTTTTTCTCTTTTCATGTGACAACACTGAAGAAATGCCACTCTGCTACAATGTAAAGTAGTAAGTGTACAGCCTGTATTACAGTGTACATTTGCTGTCCTCTCAAAATAACTCAGCACACAGCCATTAATGTCTAAACCATTGGCAACAAAAGTTAGTACACCCCTAAGTAGAAATGTCCAAACTGGGCCCAATTAGCCATTTTCCCTCCCTGGTGTCACGTGACTCGTTAGTGTTACAAGGTTTCAGGTGTGAAAGGGGAGCAGGTATGTTAAATTTGGTATTATCCCTCTCTCACACTCATACTGGTCAGTGGAAGTTCAACATGGCACCTCATGGCAAAGAACTCTTTTTGAGGATCTGAAAAAAGAATTATTGCTCTACATAAAGATGTCCTAGGCTATAAGAAGATTGCCAAGACCCTGAAACTGAGCTGCAGCACGGTGGGCAAGATCATACAGCGGTTTCGCAGGACAGGTTCCACTCAGAACAGGCCTCGCCATAGTCGACCAAAGAAATTTAGTACACGTGCTCAGCGTCATATCCAGAGGTTGTCTTTGGGAAATAGACGTATGAGTGCTGCCAGCATTGCTGCAGAGGTTGAAGGGGTTGGGGGCTCAGCCTGTCAGTGTCCAGACCATACACGAACACTGCAACAAATTGGTCTGCATTGCTGTCGTCCCAGAAAGAAGCCTCTACTAAAGATGAACAAGAAAGCCCGCAAACCGTTTACTGAAGACAAGCAGACTAAGGAGATATGGATTATTGGAACCATGTCCTGTGGTCCGATGAGACCAAGATAAACCTATTTAATTCAAATGGTGTCAAGGGTGTTTGGCAGCAACCAGGTGAGGAGTACAAAGACTAATGTGTCTTGACTACAGTCAAGCATTGTGGTGGGAGTGTCATGGTCTGGACCTGCATGAGTGCTGCCGGCACTGGGAAGCTACAGTTCATTGAGGGAGACTGGGCCGCAGGGCAGTATTCAACCATGATAATGACCCCAAACACACCTTCAAGACGACCACCGCCTTGCTAAAGAAGCTGAAGGTAAAGGTGATGGACTGCCAAGCATGTCTCCAGACCTAAACCCTATTGAGCATCTGTGGTGCATCCTCAAACAGAGGTTGGGGGAGCGCAAGGTCTCTAACATCCATCAGCTCTGTGATGTCGTCATGGAGGAGTGGAAGAGGACTACAGTGGCAACCTGTGAAACTCTGGTGAACTCCATGCCTATGAGGGTTAAGGCCGTGCTGGAAAATAATGGTGGCCACACAAAATATTGACACTTTGGGCCCAATTTGGACATTTCCACTTAGGGGTGTACTCACTTTTGTTACCAATGGTTTACACATTAATGGCTGTGTGTTAAGTTATTTTGAGGGGACAATAAATTTACACTGTAATACAGGCTGTACACTTTTCATTGTAGCAGAGTGTCATTTCTTCAGTGTTGTCACATGAAAATATATAATATAATTACAAAAATGTGAGGGGTGTGCTCATTTTTGTGAGATACTGTAACTACACATACAAAGACACATGGCTACATTAAACCCTGTACTCTGTAGCATGGCTGAAAACTTAATGAAGGTTGCTTCCCTGCACTATGTGCATCAACCAACGTCCTCACTACATTTCTAGCATGCAAGTATAGTACTCTGCAACTTTACTATCGAGGCTAGCAGGAGAACATGGCCTACTCATCCACAGCATATACAAGTGTGATCATGGACCTGATGTGGACCACCAGCAGACCAACTTTGACATAACGCTCTCTATGTTGGGATGGGTGGCGGTGGGATGCAATAAACTATTTAGGGGGATGGAAAAAAAGGCTCCCGGACTTGTACTTTGTTCTGTATTTCAAAATAAAATAAGGTACATATGTGAATTTTTTTTTTTTTTCCTTTTTCTTTTTCTGTTTCTGCAGAAGTTAGACAAGCCAAGATTATTACATTAAACAATCCGTTCAATGGGTTATTACAGCATATTCAGACCCTTCAAAAAAAACAAAACACTATGATCTGTGTAACCCTAATTTGTAAATAGGGTTTCTTATTTTATATGGCTAATTTTTTTAATTTTATATTTTATTTTAAGCTCCCTAATCTACTTTTCTATGGTCCTCCTGGAACTGGGAAAACATCTACTATTTTGGCAGCCTCCAGAGAGCTCTACGGGTAAGTCATAATAGAAAACACACATAAAGCCCCGTCACTTGCTTAAGTGGTGCTGCTGATCCTGCAGCATTCCACACACATTGTTCTGACAATTCTGTGTTCAGTAATAGTTAAAGGTGTTTATAATCCGGTACTGCACTCTGCTGTGCTAGTTTTTAGCTTCTTTTTTCCAAGAGCCAGTGTATAAAGAAAATTAAACAAATGTATAGCATGCTTGAAAATAAGTCATGGTGCAGTTATGTCCAGATTTGTTTTGACTATTTTACTCACTGAAATCTGACTTACACAAAAATGTCTCCATAGCATTTCTGTCTTCTAATCATTTTTTTCCAGCTACAACAGAATATACAATTCTTCCCCCTCCCCACCCTTCTCTTGCTGAAATGCCAGTTCTAACACATTTACACTGGTATATATGATCCTAAAATGTTGTGCTATCAGCCACACAATACAAAAAAACAAAGTGTGTAATATTTTGAGGAGTCTCTTTACCATTTTCATTATTGAAGATAATTCACTAGAAGTGAGAATTCAAAGAGAATTTCAAATTCAAGGGTGCAGTAGTTGAACTGGAAGCATAGCTGACTTCAAGAATGTTTCCATTTTGACCTTAAATTTGACCTTTTCATTGTATTCACTTTGAATTCTCATGTTTGTGAATAACCCTAACTAGGAATCGACCGATTATCGGTCTGGCCGATATTATCGGCCGATATTCTTTTTTTTCGGCAATATCGGTATTGGCCTATAGAGATACCGATATTGCCGATAATGCATGACAAGCCTGGCGGTCCTTGGGGGCCCGCAGCAAGCTCTTGCCTTCCCAGTAGCTCCCTTCAGCTCCCCTGTCTATGTTTTGCGAGTCGCGCGACCGTCAAAGCATTGCCACAGATTACCATGGCAACGCTCCGCGCGGCACACAGGCCGTGAGCGTTAGACAGGGGAGCTGCTGGGAAGGTAAGAGCTTACTGGGCCCCCACTGCACTGTCCATGCCACCAGACCACCAGGGAATGCCATATCCCCCCTCCCTGGCCAAGAAGCAGGGAGGACGGACTAAAAAAAATGAAATATTTAAATAAAAATGCCCCCCCCCCACCCCCGCCACATTTTACACACATTACATACCTACGCAAACACACACACACACTCTGCATTATATACACACTCTACACAAACACTGCATTCATTATACACACTACACATACACATTGCATTCACTTTACGCGCACTACACACTGCATTCACTACACAAACACACTCTGCATTCATTATATACACGCTACACACACTCACTGCATTCATTATATACACGCTACACACACTCACTGCATTCATTATATACACGCTACATACACACTCTGCATTCATTATATACACGCTACATACACACTCTGAATTCATTATATACACGCTACACACACACTCTGCATTCATTATATACACGCTACACACACACACTCTGCATTCATTATATACACGCTACACACACACTCTGCATTCATTATATACACGCTACACACACACACACTCTGCATTCATTATATACACGCTACACACACACACACTCTGCATTCATTATATACACGCTACACACACACACTCTGCATTCATTATATACACGCTACACACACACACTCTGCATTCATTATATACACGCTACACACACACTCTGCATTCATTATATACCGCTACACACACACTCTGCATTCGTATATACCCAGCTACACACACACACACACTCTGCATTCGTATACCGCGCTACACACTCTGCATTCATTTATATACCGCGCTTCCACAAACACCTGCATTCATTATATACAGCTACACACACACTGCATTCATTATATACGGCTACACACACTGCATTCATTATATACAGCTGCACAAACACACACACTGCATTCATTATATACACGCTACACACACACTGCATTCATTATATACACGCTACACACACTGCATTCATTATATACACGCTACACAAACACACACACTGCATTCATTATATACACGCTACACACACACTCTGCATTCATTATATACACGCTACACACACACTCTGCATTCATTATATACACGCTACACACACACACTGCATTCATTATATACACGCTACACAAACACACACTGC